GAAAAAAACAGAGTAGAAACGTTTCTAGTTGGATGAATTTGGGCGCTCCTGTAGTGGCCTGTACGTTTCCTAAAATCGCGTAGCGTTAACGGGCGCGACTTTAGGAAGTACTAGTGGTCTAAAAAAAAAAAAAACGGAAACCTCCGCAGGCCAGAAAAAGCAACTTCTTGCCCACTGCAGTCCAAAAATGCTCACACCTGCTCAGTCAATCCTCTGGATTCCAGAGCAATCAATGCTGGCAGGCACCCTCCAGACACCATCCAATTTTCCTTCTATGTACCATACTGTACCAAACTGTGTAAGGGACGCTGGACCCGTTTTCCAGCAGGTGACGCTCCGCACCAATAGATGGAGCCTCTCCCCAGGTGCTAGCAATGTCTGCTCTAAACAGCATCGCTAGGACTGCAGGGACTGTTTTTTTTTTTTTTTTTTTTTTAAAGAAAAGTCCAAAAATGCTACGTTCGGTCTCCAGCTGGGAAGTCATACAGCGGCTGTACAATCTTCGGCGTTATGCACAGCAGATTGCCCGTGTGTAACGGGTTTGTCCGTAGTGGCAGAGTCCCTTGCCCCCCCAGATGAGTTCCATACCCACTTGTGCTGCCCTTCCCACAGTTTCTCCCCCTGTTCGCACATGCTAATAGTCTGGCCCTCCGGAACAATAGTCAGGCCATCCGCAAGAATAGACGCACGTTCCGCTCCCCTCCGTGCGGTTTCCGGGCCTCCCCTTACTTCCTGGTTTCCATGCTCCCACTGCACTCCCAGTCTTGCAAGTGGTCCACTTTCATCGGTGCATCGCACCTGGTTTGTTTGCCATACGTAACACAGGTTGGAGAAGCTGGAAGATAGACATCCCGCTGGCGAGATAACGCACTCCAGGAAACGGTGCTATGCCATGGCCTTACCGTGCAGGCCGAAACGTTAGAGCCTTAGAAGGACACACCCACACACACACACACCCCTTTAAAAAAAAAAAAAAAAAAAAAAAAACCAATAAAGAAAGTCCACCATTTGCTATCAGCTGTGTGACCACGCTTTTTTTTTTTTTTTTTTTTTAAACAGAAACCCGTGGCATCAGATTGGAGTGCTGACCAGCTGATACCAAATGGAGCAATGTTCAGAAAGTCGCGGCCATGTCTCATTCACATTTTGCTGTTTTGCTACCGGTGTGTGAGTATGTTCACACATAAATCTCAAATTCGAAATTGCATTTTGCTACTTTGCTCACCGTGTGTGAGTATGCCCTAAGAAACACAAATCTTTTTCTTTCTTTTGCTTTCTTGTTGATAGAAATATTCACCAACATGCCATCCCACACAGACCGCAACCAACAAACAAAACATTTTCTGGTACACCCCATGATTACTGAGCAATATGCGTTTAGGGCATCATGCCTATCATGCCCTGCTGTACATGGACGGCCTCGCACCAGCACCTTCCTGCACAGGAACAAAGTATCGTAACCACTACAACCCTTGGAGGTGTTATCCCCAGCATTACAACCCTTGAAAGTGTCATCACCACTAGATCCATACCGGTTGTGATATCGAGCTCACCTCCAGGGCTGTAGCGTCCTTAAACTCACACCACACACACACACCACACCACAGACTCGACAATCCACACACACTCCGCTCGGACAACACGCAGCCCACCACCGCTACTTAACCCGGTCACACCCAGCGGGCCAACTTCCAGCGGGTTCCACGGGCGATGGACTGTTGAAATACAGACCCAAGTTCAAGTCCAGCTGCGATCAGACGAACAGAATCAACTTCAATAAAGTAATTCTGCATTACCTGGGGCCGGTCAGCTCAATGATGATATCTCAGGGCCGTCGCCCATTTTTTATTTTTTATTTTTTATTTTTAAGCTTTCTCTTTCCTTTTCTTGATTGTGAATCGAAATAGACACTTATATGCCATCCCATACACAGCCTGGAAGTAAGTAATGGTCAGGCCCACTGCGGGCACTATTTCTAGAATAGATATATATGAACCTGTATCAGATAGATGGACAGGTTCATGCTCACTTGGCCCAGACATAGAACCGATGGGTTCTGACCATGGATCGCTCCCAAAAAGTGGGGGAAGGTCATAACCGTAATATAATATGCTATATAGAGGGCCCAATCAGATTTGGAATGCAATACCTTTCTCGGCCTTTTGGCTAAGATCAAGTGTTAGTTCTGTTCTGAATCTTCTGATAAAAAAAGATTAAAAAAAAAAAAAAAAGATTTGGAAATGTCAGACTGTCCCGGTCGGGATGCTCCTGGATTTGCAGATGACTGAGTGCATGATCCACAAGCTGATGTGTAGATGCGCACATTCATTATAACTTGGACAGCTCGTTTGGTACTTCCAGAGTCCAGACATAAACAGGCTATTCCGGTCCTTTATCTCCCCCCCTCCCTCCCTCCCTCTTGCACCTCCTTCCCACAAAAACATTATGCAGCCTACTAGCTGTTAGTCGGCCCGCGGATGGTAGACATCTACAAATCTTGATCCACAAATCTGTCATTCACAACATTCCAGATACATACACACACA